TTCGGTGTGTCTTTGGACGAAAGTCGAAAAAACTTATTTCTGTGGTCTGGACCTAAGTCGCTCTTCAAAATAATTGTTCTTGGGTTGAAGAGGAGTCCGGAATTTGCGTGACCGGGGGTAAAGAAAAGTAAATTCTCGATTTTAAAAATCTTTCAAAAGTAAAATATATTTCCCGAAACTTTATTCGACGAATATTAGCTGATTTAAATACAATTAATCTGATTTGAAAAGAATTTTATTTACTTTAAGTTTAAAATAACAAACAAATGCATTTTCAAAACAATCAGTAGCGCGATTATGTTCTTGTCAACACCTCATAAATCTCTTGACGAGTGATTTACGAAGTGTTGACATTTTTATTATTGTTCTCCGGAAACATTATCTTTGAAAACATAATTTAAGAAAATGTCAGGTGAAAGCTTTTTTATATATTTTTAAGTATTCAAAAATGTTAGTAAATGTTTTCCGTAATCTGATTTTAGGAATTTTGTATATAAAATATCTATAGTCATCACTATTATTTTCTGATTATGTCGTGTATGGTCACCATACAGAAAAATATTGGGTGTAAACGACTTCGAGATATTCAATTTCTGATTCGTAAAAATAGTTTTCATTTAATAACAATATCACTTAACCGGACTGAGATAATACAGAATTTTAAACGATTTATAATATTATAAATTATTATAATTAAAATTTTAAAATGAAAACAATTCTTGTCAAATATTCATTATTCATCGAAATAGTGTCCTTAATAAATATTATTTATAAAAGCAATTAAAAGCTTCTCTAAGTAAATACTGTCATAGTTTTATTGTATTTTTTTATTTTCCGATTTGGAGCAGATTTTCGGGAAAAGTTTAGTAGTTTAAAAATATAATTACCAAAATTTTGTAAAAAAAAAAAAAAATTCAAAAATAATTTCATTCATTTGTGAATAAGTCCAGAATGTTTCATTAAAATCCGACAATTATTTAAATTTTTCAAGAATTTTCAAATCAATGTTTTTTCATGAGAAAGAAGCGCAAAAAAGTAATCGTAAATTAACGTCGACCGCTGACGCAAAATCAAAAGATTTATAACCAAACTTTCATGCTAGAAAAGTTTTAAAAATCTTAATAAAATAATAAAAAAAAATAATTTGGTCTTTCCTCTTAATAATAACATAAAATTTTGACGATATAATTTTTTTTTATTAAGTTTGGGGCCTTTTATCACCGAGCCATATTGATATTCAACGAAAAAGTGGAGATACCTAATATAGATTCTTTTTTTGTGGATGAACGAGCAATCAGGGCACTCTTTAAATATTTTCATCTGAGTAAATTGCTTTCTCCTTCGATCAGAGTAGCATTATTTATATCAAAATTGTGGCCAGTCTCTTATATATACCTTACTGGTCTCAAAGGTTTCGGCCCATCTTCTGAATTTGAGAAAGTCACCTAAACGTGAATGTTTCGCGCCTTTTTCAACAGCTAAATTCGGCTCACACGGTATTTCTCTCCATGAAGGATTCTATCATATATTCAGGATGCAAAATAATAATAATAATGCAAATAAATAATCATAATAATAATAATCATAATAATAATGATAATCTTAATAATAATAATCCTAATAATAATAATGAAATTAACCGATTACTGCATAAAGTTTCCTTAAAATTGTGGCTTTTTTTTCTTCATCGACTTTGCTCATTATTGTTAATCTTAAAAGGCTGGTGGATTTTATATTTCAAATAAGCCCCTTTCTAATAAACCGGACGCCATACACTATGGCTTAAATTGTTTTTAGTCTCCGAGCATTGCAGGATTTAAACCAATTAATTTACTCCTGTGGGTGGCCCAAACTTCTCTGACTTTTCTGTTGTCTTACATGAACTATAGTTCTTATATTACTTTTATTTAATAATAAAAATTACAGCGAGCTTTAAGAAATATAATTATTGAATGAAAAGGACGTTGTTATAATCAAAAGACGTTATTTTTTAAGCTTTTCAAACGTTTTCATTCAGGACCGTTTTTAATGAAAACATTTATTTTGCTACAAATATTTCTACTGAGTGTTCTAAAAGTAAGATTACTTACACTCTATTCAACTTTAGTCGTAATATTTCCGTATCTTTATTTGATTTTATCATTTTCTTCGAGGATGTATCCAATGAACTTCATCAACCTATTTTAAAATAAATATTCCCTGAGACCTCGTGTTTTATTACACCTTTTATTATTGGTACCAACTGCTGCTAGTTTTATTGAAGTCCCAAATACAATGATGAGATCTGCAAATAACTGATTGAACTTATTTTACAATCTGTCGTTCTCAACTCAAGGAAAGTGACTCGTTTTGTCGATACTCCAAAACATTAACGGATTTTAGGTTTAATTGATTAACGTTAATATTGCTTAAATGTAATATATTAATTTAATATCATTCGCAATTATTATTTCTTTTATTTTAATTATGTATATTATGATTTTATTTATTTGGAGTTATATAGATATATTGTTTATTATTATTTCTCTCAACTTTTTCCCCAGCTAACTGTTTTTTCTGTATTAATATTTATTTGTTTTTGTACAACTAACCTGAAGATCGTTTCTCTTATTTTTATTTTCTGTTTTTACTTACCTAAAGTTACATTTATGAATTCATTCATCTTTTTTTTTATCAATTGTTAGTTTAGGTGTTAGTATTGTCAAAGAAGTAGTATAAATTATTTTATCGTATGTTATAAATAATGGTTTCACAATCTCCGAGTATTTTAGGCTTAAATCTCCATTTGTATTTACATTTTTTTGTTTCTGCTGTCTTTTTCTAAAATTGACAAACAATTCGATATTTTTGTCTGTTTATACACGACTATTCCCCAATCTCTCTTGCTTTCGAGTGCAATTTATCTCAGGTTTTATATATTTAAAAAAATGGATATTTCTTTTGAGCTTCTAAAATACGTAATGTATATAATGTTTACATTATATATATATTCTAAAGGTTGTCATAGCCGGGGTTGATAGTGAGAACAAAGTTCTCACTGTCTATAAAATGCTTGCGTGTCATGCGTCTCAAATAGCCTCTGACAACTAAGTCCATCTCCAGGCTGGTGAAGGAGCGAAGACGGATTTCTGGTCTCTCATTGCTAGATGCTTTGGAGAGATGGAGCTCGTCAACCCGGAAAGGCAGTCCATCTGCGAGAAGGAAATAATATTCAAGCATATCCCAGCAAATTAAAAAAAAAGGCTTCTGACAAGTCAGTCCAGCTTCAACCCAGAGAATAGATAAAGCGAAAAACTGGCGCCTCATAACCAAGTGCTCCCGGTCGATGGAGCTCAATAGCTGAGGAAGTTCATCTAGGGGAAGAAACCTCCACTGCCTTGCAGTCATATTCAAACACGGAAAATGCAATGGAATTAAATTCGGAGTCTGTTGTCTGTCAATACTAACAACTTCCCGGCATCTCCAGCACCCAAACCGTCCCCAAATGTAGTTTACTTGGATCTCTTTGTTCGTGTCATACAGTCTGAAGAGCACACGACCTCCATATATGATCACCCAGCCATACGCTCTGGAGATATCATTCCAGTCTCACCCCCAAAGGTCTAGATTTTGACCAAACATTGCGCTGCTTTATCTCATGAGAGAAACGAATGCCCACTACAATCTGTCCTTCGATGAAATGCTATTCGACTGATAATGCATTGATAGCAAATGAATATCTTACATCATTGCAAAAGTTAGTGCCCGATTAGAAAATTAAAAATAATATTTGGCATACTCACAAATACATTCATTAGTCAAATACACAATTTCCATTGTTTTTACCAACTGTCTCTTATCGTTCCTAGATTCCAGCTTGTTGATGTTATTTTCGTAGAAACTTCGTGTTTTTTGTTTGAAGAATTTTGTGAGGTACTTTTTGATTGATTGTACAGTCAACTGTTTTACCATTTAAAATGTTTTGTAGAAACCGGACCAAATAAAAATCGGAAGAGAGAATACGGTTGCTACTTGAGGATTAACTATTTCAACTCTAAGTTTCTGTAATGTCTGTTTTGTAGCATGTGGTTTTATGTTGTTGGCGATTTACCAAAATCAGCCGTGAGTTGGTCCCAGTATTTCTTTGCAGTTATTGTTTCGCCGGCTGGAAGTGGATTATTCCTTTGCAAGCCGTCCAAATGGACAACAATGACTTCATTGGAGCGAGGACTCATCGTTTTACATTCGAAAGATGTAACCATCGTACTTATCTCTTGTGGAATTTTCTTCCAGTTTCTAGATTTCCTGTTAAACCTGGTTTTCAAAAATCAAGATGCAACATTAATAGTCAACTTCTGTTATTTGAAATCTTGTTTGTTTATTGTCTTTTCTACTCAATAAGGTTTTCACAGTTTATTTTACACTCTGTAATTATTTATGTCTTAGTGACTTCATCGCCATGATTTGGGTAAAATGATTAAAAAATTAATGTTTATAGAGATTTATAAATTTAATATTTAAAAAAATGATGGCGATAGAGCCGATAAATATTGGGTACGATTTTAATTTATTTAAAAATAAATCCAGTTTTGATGTGAAACCCATTATACCCGAAGGTTTCTGTATATTTTGAAGAATGTTTTTTTACGGATTTTTTAAAAAAAATGAGCTTCCAGTGTGCAAACGTTTCGCAAAGAGATTTTCTTACAACTTTTTCTTTAATTCCAAGCTAACCTCCCCCCTAAAACTTGCCTCTCAGGCACTATATTCATTTCTTTTATTCTCCAGAAGGCTATGGGTTCACATATAACCAAATCGACGTTAGCTATAGGCGTTTGATACTTATCAGAAATAACAGTGATTGTCTTTGTCATCACAATGCTAAAATGTGACAAAATGCACCACCATATTTCTTGCATTTAAAATAGCGTCCCATATAATATAACGTCATTTCAGTTTCACAGATTAAAATTAAAATCGAAGTTAAAGCATAAAGTGGGAAATAAATCAACCTAAGTCACGGAGAATGTGATGGAGAAAGAAACAAGAAAAAGAAAAGGAATAGAAATAAAGAAAAATGAGAAGAGAAATTGAGAGTGAATAAAAGAAAGGGATACACAGATGACGAAATAAAAAGACTGAAAGAGATAAAAAGAGAGAGACAAAGTAAAAATAAAGAAGGAAAAACAGTAGAAAAAGATAGAAACTCTATAATGTCTTTTAGTTTTCCACGGCTTATCAACTCTTTGGAGGTTATTTACACACAGACAATCTTTTTTAATTTGAAATAATGTTTTGAAGGGAGGTTAATAATGATTAGTGATAAAAGTCTTACTAATTAACCTTTAGCTGGAGGGAGAAGCGTTGGATTCTTACCTTTCCCAAGAGTACTTGTGCGTAAATGAATCTAATGAACCCAACGGGAATTGGAACTCGGCTTCCTGATTAACAATTCCGAGCCATAATCCATTACACCACCCACACATCCAGGCTTACATCACCTCGTATTACCAAGGGACAGAAAAAACGAGAGAGGGAAATGAGATACAGAGAAATATAAAAATATTATTTTTTATTTCAACAACGGAGAATATTTTTCTCTTTTGACAATCAATGATACAAAATTAAGAATTTAACTTTTGGTGAATCGATACTTCTATAATGATCAATTATTTTTTTAAGCGTATTCTTATTATTGATTTTAAAAATACCAACATACTGATTGGGGTTCATTTTGTGATTTTATTCACGATTCCCCTTGGAGTGTGAAAATTCAGACTTCCCATTGAAAAATTGGCATCAGAAGATTCTTCGTTGGTGAAAGCCGGCATGGAGGCCTTTGTGTCTTCTCTTATATACCAGATAAAACTATAATCTTCTTGTTTCACACCCGTCTCTTCAGCCACTATAAGCCACAATAATCGCTTTTTCCGGTTGTAGCAATATGATAGCTCTGATCACAACAGGTGATGTTTGTGTCCTCAAGTCACTGTCCACTGATAGCGAGAGGCACCAAATAGATTCTGACATGTTTGGTTCTTGTGAATACTGATGGCTCTGTAAGAGTGTTTCAAATAAAGGTAGCCTCAATGCTTCTTCAATCAATTTGAAGTTCTATCATCTTTTGTCGATAAAGCAGAATGCTTTGCCCACAGATTCTATTCCACTTCTGTTGTAAACTCATAAGAAGTCCGTTTCCTCGATGTTCCATAATAACACCGCCCATGATTTTCGCTATCATCTCAAAATATGATCCTTCTTTACGGAATATTAACTGGCAAATATTCTCTCCAATGTTTACATTAATGGCTTTGGTACTTCTTGTTATCCGGATTGTTGAAAATCCAATCCTGTAGTTCCTGTAATTACGAACTCTGGCGAACCGTATAATCCTTTGAATTATAAACCTGTTAATCTTCTGTTTCTCCTTGATAAAGTAGTAGGGGCTCTAATCAACTCACACGTTTAGCATCTCACATTGTCTTGTTTCAGACAACCGATATGGCTTTCGTTTCTCTAGATCAACCGCCAATGTGTGAACGCTTATTGCTGAAAGTGTCTGATAAGTCTTGCTTTAGATATTTCAAAGGAGTTTGACAGGTTTTAGCATGCTGGTCTTCATCACAAGTTGACAGATTTCTGGTTGTAGTTTTGATTTGATTCAATTTTTTTATCAAACCGCGTAATGAATGTTGTTTTGAACGGCCACTCTTCTACATCTGTTTGTTTTAATGCGGGCATCCATCAGTGTGTGATTCATATACTCACTCTTTTCCTTATATTATCAGCGACTTTCACAGGGCCATCAGTTTCCAAATCGGTATCCTTGCGGATGACAAAACTATTTTCTTGTTTTAACTGAAAGCCTGATGGGTTCGGTAAAATCAAACTGGCAACTGATCTCGAAAATAATCTACAATACCTCGGACCAAAAGTAAATCGCTAATTGCTCTCTATTAATCATCTTAAAGAATATTTTCATTCCATGGGCCTGATTCTTTTAAGTCAATTGCTAAATCTGCTACTATGATTGTTGGTTCACTATATTGCGTTAGACAATTTTTCTCGGCAGAATCTGTCTTGCATATTTATAAATCCAGTATTTGTCCGTCTATCAAATATTGCTTCAAAGTCTTGTCTGGTGGATTTGAAATGAACCTCAAGATTCTTGACAAAGTCCAAAGAAGGATGATAAAAATTATCGGTTCTGAACTAGCGACTTGGTTTCAGTCAATTTCCTACCTCTGCAATGTAGATTCGTTGTGCCTCTTCTATAAATATTTTCATGGCAATTGTTTTGATGAGTTTTCCGATATGTGAACGAATAGAGTACAATTCCAGCGTTCGTAACATTTCATTTAAAAAAGGCTCAATACAGAGCAGAACAAAATATTATTTATTTTAGGGTATTAAATCAAAAACATGTTAAAATCGCTACACAATTGCAATCGTGTTTCGACGCGTATCATTGCGTCTCCTCAGGCAATTGTAAATTATAATTTGCTTTTGAAATTGAATTAATCGTTCACTAGCCAGTAATTTACAATCGCCTGAGGAAACGTTTTGATACGCGTCAAAACACAATCGCAAATATGTAGCGATTTTTAACATGTTTTGATTTAATATCCTAATATATATATATATATATATATATATATATATATATATATATATGTAATTCGTGTGAAAGCAAAATTGTCCATTTTTTAGATTAAGATTTGAACCGTCGTATCTTAGAATTGATTAAACATATCTTACTGGAATTCTCCGAGGTTTTCTAACACTATTGGACCCTACTTTGAGCAATAAGAATGTATAATTATTTTCCAAGCTTATATATATATATATATATATATATATATATATATATATATATATATATATATATATATATATATATCAGTAACGAAAATCTTGGTAATCCGTATGAATAATCCCAAGGAGGATTAAATTCGGAGAACCCAATTTAAATCAGAGCGAATTATTTAATTTAAAGGAGAAAACAGACCACTTTAAGTTTTCTTTATTTATAATTTATTTCACCAGAGATTTTATTTTTCTCTGGATCTTAAGACTTCACTTTCAAAGTTCAAAAAATTAATTTAAAATCTACACATTAGAAAAGCAGTATTAAGATTATATAAGACGAACATAGAGGTTGGTGAGGAATAGTGTGAGAGACATGGTTGAGTTTAGAGAGGGAAGTGAGAGTTTAAAAATTTACTTTTATTTTTTATTTTTATTACAATACTTAATATTGAGGAGGAGGGGGTAAGGATAAGACATTGACCTATTTAATCGGTCAACTCACCGGAAATGATTTGGGAAAAAAAGAAGAAAAGAAAAGGAGAAAAGAAAAAGTGGGGAAGTAAAGAGATAAAAAAAATAAGAGATGGACTTAGGGTTTTGGGAGGAAGGAGAAGGATAGTATTGCATTAGCAATTTAGATAAACACAGATCTTAACGTTTGAAAGTAATTTAAATTTTTAAAACTCAACAAATAAATTAGATTTAATGATTGCTAGCAATTTCAATATTTAACTTCTCCACAAATAAATTACGGATTTAATATAAACTTAATATTATATTAATAAGCACATATAAAAATAAAAAGTTAAGAATATTACTAATATATTTACGAATATATATATATATATATATATATATATATATATATATATATATATATATATATATATATATATATATATATTATAGATGGAGGTGATTTGACTTAGGGTGTACATACAACGGATTAACGTTAGGTTTTCTGTAAGTTAGGTATATGTTGTTCATTAAGTCTAGAGTTACGTCGAGGAAGTTTACCCTTTTTAATTTAGTATTGACTGTAGTTTTTAAGTTTAGTTTTCTGAATTCACTATATATTATCTTTCTAATTTTATCTATTTTAAAATTTGTGGAGCTCCTCAGTACCATGAGCCCGTCATCTCTGTACAGCCCGATGTCCTTAATGTCTAATTCACGGTGCGCGGTTAGATTGTATAGTATAAATAGACCGACAAGATCAGAAGACTCTGCAGAGTCTAAAGATCCCATGGTAATGTCAAAATTGTTATTAGTGTTTTTAATTCATTGGCCCCCATTATGGAGAGGACAGATTTTTTGCACTAACAATTATGTTCGTTTCTTCCTTAGTTAAGTCAGAATATACAGTAGCGAACACCAGGGCAGTCGTGAAGAGATGTCTTGATATTGACTGGTAGTAATTTACAATATCGAACTGTATTAGTGTGCAATCAATTGTCGATATTGGTAAACCAATTGATGACTTCTTTGGTATTAATCCAGAGTGTTAAGCCAAGACATTTTTGATATATATATATATATATATATATACTAATATTTAAAATTTACTGAAATATATATATATATATATATATACTAATATTTAAAATTTACTGAAATATATATATATATATATATACTAATATTTAAAATTTACTAATACATATATATATATATATATATACTAATATTTAAAATTTACTGAAATATATATATATATACTAATATTTAAAATTTACTAATATATATATATATATATATACTAATATTTAAAATTTACTGAAATATATATATATATACTAATATTTAAAATTTACTAATATATATATATATATATATATATATATATATATATACTAATATTTAAAATTTACTAATATATATATATATATATATATATATATATATATATATATATATATATATACTAATATTTAAAATTTACTGAAATATATATATATATATATATATATATATATATATATATATATATATATATATAGGGATCATATTCCAACTTATTCAAGACATTCGCCCTCTCTAACCTTTTTTTTCTGTCCTGGGGTATCGCGGTGCCTCACAGTTTTCACGTACGATTTCCTTCTCAAATCTTTTTTCACTGCCCTTTGGACTATCATAGGTGAAACTCGTCTCTCATGTGAAAAAGATGATCCCTCTCCCCGTTGTTACCTCCTGATCCAGTTTTCCTCTCTACTCTTCTTTCTTTTTTAAAATTATTCACTGTTTTCTTGATGATTCTTGAATGGACTTTGAAGGTGCTAGCCAGAGTATAAATGTTAATACCATTATTTTTCATCACACCATTTCTCAATTAGGAAGACAATGTGGCTGAAACAAAACAAAAACGATTTTTAACCTGTTCTCTATTTTTTGCTGAATAAGTGAATAACTCAAAAGGTTTTACAGTGATTCTTACGACAAATGGTGTCAAGATGTCTAAACGTCTTATCCGAAAACCTGCAAAAATAAACTCAATTAGTTTAGCTTTTTTTTTAAATATTAACATTTTGTGGGATGGACACTTATGCTGTTACGCCTAAGCGAAGCAGAAAAACCATTCTAGCACAAGATGCTACTGGGTGTGACAGAATTTTAAACAGGAAAAATGTCAAGGAGCGAGAACAAAAGAAGAGTAATCAAGAAGACTATTGACAGAGAATTTAAATTTTTGTAGATTAAAGATGGCTGAAAACATTGAGCCGGAAGAGAGTTCCACAAGTGAGTAGCGTGTGAAAAGAAACTCAACACAGAATTTACGATTTCATCAAGCCAACTCAGCTGTAAATTGATGAGATTTCTTTGCCAGTCTAGTACTGCACTTAAATTCAAAACTTCCAGATCTCATAGCGAAGAGCTCAGCAGAACAATTGCCGTGAAAATATTTATAGAAAAGTCATAGCGAGGCACCCTTACGTGTAGGATTGCACGTTGCCTTCCACGCATAAGCTGTGCTTCTTACTCTCTAAAACCTCTACCAGCAGTGACCATCGCGCCTTGTAGAAGGTGAATAACTTTTTAAAAATATATGAATAAACAGAAATGTTTCAATACTAGCAACGGTAAAAAGCCAAAAAGATCGGTGAATGCAATCTGACAGCAAAAACAGGAACGTTAGAAGTCAACTGCAGACAGGAGAGAAAAATAGTTTTAATTCTGCAGATGACAGTTTCAGGTTTAATCTTACTTTCAAGCAAATAACCATGTGGTACAAAATGTAGGTTTATTAATTATGGTACAATGTAATTGTGAGGTCAATATGCTGAAGCGGCTTATAAAGTATTAAACACATTGGAAACAAGGTGAACAATTAGAAAGCAGTGATAAAATAAGATCTAGACGGGATATAACTAGACGTTAACAGCGGAAGGAGAACAATCTACTTATATTGACAGAATAAAGGGCTTAGCTCAGGTTTCCGTGAGAGATACCCAGATCTAAAGAGACCTAAAGAAGTCTGGCAGGGATAACGACCAAAATGCTGTCATTACCAACAATGATAAGGAAATTCGTCTGAATATAAATAATGATATCGCTTCATCTTGGATATTCACACTATTTTTCAATGTTGTGTTACTATCAATTTCTTATATTAAATTGTGTTTCATTTATGAGATTATATTTCTTACCTGACACGATATTATTGACTTACACATATACGCGGGACGCACGCACGCACGCACGCACGCACGCACGCAAACACATACACACACGCACATGTATATATATATATATATATATATATATATATATATATATATATATATATATATATATATATATATATAAAACAATATGATGAAAGATACTCGAATTGCATAATCTAGATGTAGCCTTAAATGATATGCTTACAGTTTCTTTTCTCGCACTTCTCGATAGTGGAAATCCATGCTTTCCAGTCAAATCTGATCGTCAAATATTTAAATGCAATGGAAATCGCTATCTGCTGACTTCCTGATTATACTTCCTCTTTTATCGCTCCTTAGCAATTTCCCTGTTTCTATCTCTTACACACCCAGTAACCCCTTCCGTCTCTGTGGATTTACGGCCTTTTCTGGGGTGAACCCGTTTAAAAAATATTCTTGGGATCCTTTTTTATTGCTGCTCAATTATTGCTCTCCTCTTTCAAATGAGTCATAGTCAATAATACCAACCTCTTAAATTTCAGGCTCTAATAACTTCAGAAAACCCAAATTCAGAGTGTCATAATGAAATCAGTTTTGGCTCATCATGTATAATGGAAAATTTGGTCAGCATCCTCTGTAAAATTAAGTAAAACACTAAGCATAGAAGAACACTGGATAATCGGACGTGTAATCTGCAATGAGTGCCTCTTATAGAAATAGATGTCATGTAGAAGCCATCAATAATGGAAAAGAAATGACGGAAGATTGAACCAAACTTCATAGCAAAGCATCAGTAGCAGTTGCAGTAAAAATAAAACAGCAGTTAAAGGAGGTCAAGCGTAACAGCAACACCGGCTGCACAAGCAAGCAATAAGGACATTATATTTACTTTTCAGAGTTCTATTGCTGCATGAAACAATAGTCTAGATTTAAGGATTGTTTCCTAAATTTGGTGGCAAAATATTTGTAAATTCAATCCCTGGTACAGACACAGATTCAGTAGAACGCTTCAAAAATGAGGACGTCGGTCTAAATGTAAATGCATTAAATTACCGTAAGTATTACTATTAGAAACATTAAATGAAGTTAAATTTATTACATACATATGTGTATATCCTTAAACATTTATCGGCCTCCCTTGATTATTTTTGCCAAAAACATTGACTTAGATAATAAAATCTAACATTGTTTATCTGAAAGTAAAAGAAAGTCATATGGACATGCCGATTTTCTATTTAGCAAAGAAAGACATACACTAATGTATGTAAAAAACAAAAGACTATTACCTAAAAAGATTTTGACATTAAGATATCATTTCTTTGGCAAACATATCTACTAAACTAAAATAATAAACAGGACGACAGCTGTAAGTTAAATACGGCCCGAAAATTATTGTCTAGCAATGTAACGGAAAGAGAAAAAGAAATCCTTACTTCATAGAAGAAATACAATATTTGGAGAGCATCTGTCAGCGACAGCTTACAAACATAGACACAAGATTCTTCTCATTCAACAACAACAAGAACAAAAACTCTTACTGTAAATCCATTAATCTTTTTCCGTCATTCTATGAAATTTTTACAGTTATAAATTTTTTGATTTCTTTCTCTGTTTTGTTTATTTTTATCCCATGTTTCGTTTTCGTCAAGCATTTGTCGCTTTCGCTAACTTTCGAGACGACGAAGGGATCTACAGAAATCCACGAGATTCCAGTCGTTCCTCTGTGTGCTCTGAAATTTCAGCCTGTGAGCCATCGTGGCTCTCCACAACTTCCTATCCTTTGTAACATTTAACGACGTGTATCTTTTAAACCTTACTATCACTCCCAGTTCTACCATGTAATCACATCTGCTAGTCAGGTAACTAGCCCACCTATACCATTTACTTTCAATATGTCCTTGTGAGTGATTTCTTTGTGAAGTCTTCCTCCTTCCTCAGGTATCCTAAAAAATTTAGTTGTACGTTAGTTTCATTTTTCATTAAAAACTTCATTGCTTCTTCCATGATATTCTCAGCCCGCTTCTGTAGAATGATATTTCTCTTATCTCAAGACATTTCGTCATTTGCAAAGGAGTTGTCCATCATTCATTAGCATGCATATATATATATATATATATATATATATATATATATATATATATATATATATATATATATATATATCATAACAACTTAGCGCTCGTTTTTATGTTTCTCACAAAAGTCTCCTGTTTCTTGGCACTAATGCGACTTCAGATTTCGGTGTCACATTTACCATATTCAGTTAGAACACTTCACAGATGTTTAAACTCTTATATAACATCAGGATTTTTAAGAATATTTTTCTCTGTGGCACTTTTCCACTAAATATCTCTTTTTCTCTCCTACACGCTATCTGCGCCAAGTATGAGCGGTCATTGTTTTCTCAGTCTTCCTCCCTTTCAGAGCCCTCTGTAACACTTCTTCATTATTTGTTTTTACTTTTCTTTGTCTTTGTAGTACTTGTTCCTTCATCCATTTGACCAAACGATTCACGTTGACTACTCACTGTTTTCACCTGCCTCTCTTGCTTTCAATGTGCCCTGTAAGTGTTAATTTCACCAAACCTTGTTTTTATATACTTTGAAACAAGCAAATTGATATTTATACTTACGCTTGGACCACTGATGCATTTGTTGAAGTTTCGGGATTTCAATAAAAGGACCAAAAATGCTAATTCTGATTTGATGCAAAAAATATCGAAAATAAAAATGATCTTACTGTGCATGATTTTATTTTAAACCAAAAGATAGTCCTGGGTATAAAGATAAACTACATCCGGGTACAAGGTTCCTGATCGGGAGACTGGAGGTTTTGAGGAGTGTGGAACTACATTTTAACTGCTGTTGTTCCGAGGTCCACCCTGAACCAGAGTGGTAGAATCTTTTATGGCCCTACCTATGCGCAAATAGCGAACCCCCAAACACTATGAATGTATATAAATACATGTTTACAGTAAAAATAACAGCAATACATTTTTATATACATTTTATATATATATATATATATATATATATATATATTGGAAACAATAACTATTTATAATAACAATAGAAACAATAAATTCTTAAAGCAGAATTACCAACAATAAATTTTATCTGCAGGTCAAGCCATAAAACTACGTTCGAAATATTTAGATTTCGGCATTAAATAACCCATAGAGGTGTTAATATGCTGCTAAACAATTTCAACTAAACCAAAAAACAAAAGAAGCTATTTCAAACATACTGTAAATTTATTTATTTAATCAAATACCTCATTTTTGGATTTATAAATTTTCAAGAAATTTCATTTTCGAGAAAATTCCGCATACAAAGGCATGGAACTGTATTAAAGGTTCGTTTAATCTGATTAGAGATGCTATTGACATAAGGATAGCCTCTAGATGTTGAAAAACAATCATTAGGAGATTAGTCGTGTAAATGAGTAAAACTGCAATAAATATTTGATATTTGAATGATTCGATCGAAGCAACACGCCTTCTGGAGCTCCGAGTTTCAGGCAAGAAAATCACTTCCCCTTTTATTCTTTTCGCTGTTTTTATTTTTCGAAATTCGAAGAAAAATATTCCACATATACACGGATGTTTTGGTTATTTGAAAGAAATTATGTAGCACGAATTATAATATCACAGTTTCAGCTGATATTTTGTCTTCTCATCCGTTTCCAGGCATTGTGCTGATTGTCTTCGATGATCATATAAAAACTACATTTTATATCCATTTATGATACCATTTAACAGTCAATCATGAGACAATAACCAAAGGAATTTAATGACAATTGTGAGTTCAATTGTTTGTCGGTTTATTTCAGCGCGAGAAATTAGAAATATTCTAAGAACAAAATGAGAAATCCGTAGTACGTGTCTGTCGTGCAAAATACGCGAAAGAAAACATGGCCGAAACAAAAGGTACAATTTGAAAACAACTTAATCTCGACGCACAAATATTTTGTGAGACATGAGAGGGGCTGAAAAAGCCGATGGGTCGAGTGGTCGGGCTTTGTGTGTGCAGTTTCGTGGTAGTTCCACTGATTGTAATTGAAAAGACAGGGTACAACTGGTACTCCGAACAACCTTGCCTTTTATTGCTACAAAGACAATTACAGAGCAAGGCAATAAAACATTCCATATTTTCACGGGACTTGGTTTGGTGTCACTGAAGATAGGGTCTATTAGGTTCTTTATGTAGTTAATATTTTGCTATTATTTGTATGTAGCTCAAGGACACATGGCACAGTGGATAAAGGCGTTGGTTAGATCCAGTGACAGGACCCAGAGAGTGTGAGTTCAATACCCAGTTAAGGCAGTGGAGAGCTTTCAGAGGGGAAAATTAACAGGAGATAACTGATAACTGACATCCATTAAATATGGCACAATGAACTAGAACAGTCTACCCCAGTGAGCGAAATAAAGGGTTCAGTTCGACATTCCAACCACCTGAAGAAGGCCAGAGCGTACAACGACCGAAACGTTGTGATAAATATGACGAGGACAATATTCCGAATAATGTAAAAAATTGTATGTAGCTATATATCTGCGAATGTTCCCGCAAATGCCGTTCTCAACACAAGTGATAAAGCCATCTTTCATCTGTTTGTGTCAAGCCGAAATTTCGTTACTGAGCAGCAAAGAATCCTAAACGGTTTTCCGAAAGACTTCCACACCCGAACAAGTTACCAGCCGTGTGGTACGCTTTTGCAAATATTGCCTTTTGAAAAACTTACCTTAATATCGAGCAATTTAAGTAAATTGAAATCAGTATGTGGAGATGTTACGAAATTTTATGGAACCAAAAATAATAAAAAAAACAAACAAATGAAACAAAACTGGTAATTAAGGCGTATGGTTTGAACAGGATGGAACCCCCGCGCACACAACGAGAAATTTAATGGAGCTTTTGAGTGAGCTGACATCTGCTATATTTTGGAGGGCCTGCATAAAGGATTATTTTCTCTGGGATTACCTAAATGTTGAGACCTTCAAACATCGACGAACAACAATTGATGATTGAAGCTGCTCTACGCCAAGCAATAACAGGAATATTTCTGTAAAGAAGCCGTCAAATACTGGAAGACTTTAGAAATCGGCTACAATTGTATATGAAGGCCAGGACGAAGGTGATCATGGCTCTCCGAAAATTCCTCTTAATAAATTTTATTTTTTCGTTATTTCTCCAAAACTCTGTTCGCTATCAATTTATCGAAACATACCAAGTTTTTATGCGTTGTTTTCATCTGCTTCACTTACCATCAAACTGTCCAGTGAATATGAAATTTTTGAAGCGCTCTTTCCACATTATGTATACTAGAATAGTCTCTTCCCGATGTTAAGTATAAGTTTCTTATTTGTGTCCATTTTCTCTACAGCTTAGTCCTTACTCACATGTTCAGTCCATGGTGTCCTCAGCATCCTTCTGGAGAACCACATTTCTGTTGCTTCAAGCCTATTCTTAAACTTTGAGGAGATTGTCCAGGATTCACTGCCATATAGGAGAACAGATATCACGTGAGAATTTAGTACTCTTTTCCTTGTTTCTAACGAACTTTTTCTCAATACATTGCTTAGCTTTTGAAATGCATCTTTCGCTCTCCCAATACATCTTCGAATTTCAGTGTTGCACTTCCAGATATTTCAATTTCTATACTTGTTGATTTGAATTCCTACTTTGGGTTCATTCTTTTGTGAACAGACATACATTATATCTTCTTGCAGTTGATCCTTTTGTTTAACCCTTTCCTTTCGTTTTTTCTTCATTATATTCTGTAGGAGTTTTCGTAGTTTTCTTTTCGTGTCTGCTATCAAAACTATGTCATCTGCATATCTTATGTTGCTAAGGTTGTGGCTGCCAATAATGAATGCTCGTAGGAATCACTTTACTGTGAAGATTGAATAAATCCGGAGAGAAGACACATCCTTGTCTTAAACACTTTCTATTTTCGTATATCTGCTGTATCGATTTTAAATGATTTTTCTAAAAATATTCTCTCGGTTGGCTTTTTCGATCCATAAAAGTGGGGGGTTATTGACGTGCTCTGTATTTCCTAAACCGTTAACCATTTCTCAAATCTGAAAAAAAAACAGTAAAAATCAGTAAAGCGTTTTTCTCCCTATCGTAGTGCTTCTATTTTTATATGTGTTGGAACTCATCAAAATGATGACATTATCAACTGGAAATCCAATATTTTCCAGCGATAAGAGCAAAAAATGAACGGAAGCGAATCTTATTAAATAATCTTCAAACACTGTTTTATTTTAAGTGAAATATAGATTAGGCTATTATTGTCTTCAAAGACATGGAAAAAATTGCTGTCGAAGAATTGGTACTTTACTCTTAATAAATAATATTCTGAATGCAGATATACACGCACAAACACAATATATATAAACATACTGCATAAACTTATAAATATTTAGGGGAGGAGTGCTTAATAACGGAAATAGAGGTT